TCTCGTAATTAAGTACTATATCTCCGAAATTCGTGCTCGCTTCTAAGCACTGGTGACAGCTGCCGATTCCCAACATTGAAAAACGCGTCAAAACACCGCGTAGAAGTCAAGGCTTCGCCCCGCGCGCCCCGCTCCGCGTTCACGTTCCCACCAAGTTATACCGCGTCTCGTAACCGCGAAAGTCTCGTGCTCAGGACGTAACAAGAGAGAGAGAGATACACTCATACATATTTCCCTTGTAGATTGATTTTTATATCGATATCAACCTAATTTTTATCTTTTTGTAGACTTCTGTCGAATTTCACAATTTTCGATTAATTCTAAATCGAGATTCAACTTTATTCCTCATCTCTTCTCAATTCTAACATTGGAAAGAGATGTTGAATGTGAAACCTCGGTTAAGAGTTTACCGTGAGTTGTGTAACTGGATCTATGAGTTACAAAAGATAAAGAGTAAGTTGAACCGCGGTTTAAATTGATCTACATTGATAGAAACAGATATTAGCTATTTACTCAAATTGAATATTATTTATTTAATTATTTTTATGATTAATTTACATTGACTAAAAGATTACAATATTTTAACAATGAATAACAAACATTTGTTGTTGAACATTGAACATTTTATTAATTAAAATATATTAAAATATTAATTATTTTAATACTGTTACGTCCGGTGGACTTCACGATTTCCTCGTTTCGCGACAGTTTAATCAATAAAGTAAGATATGAACAAATCCAATTGATAACACAAATCCGAGAAAAGTTCCAGCCACAAAATCTTGTTTGCCTAGAATCAAGAGACCCGCAATAAAAACTCTCTCATAGTGCCGACAATCAAACGTTAAATCTCCTTTCGAGCATCGTGGAAAATGAAAGTCAATATCAAATAATCACTAAATAGCGTTGGTACCAAGGCGCTAAGCCAGGCCCCGAAATGATTGCCTAGAATCGAAAGATCCGCGATAAAAACTCTCTCGTAACATTGACTATCAAACCTCTTTTCGAGGATCGTGGAAAATGAAAATCAACATCAAATAATCATCAAACAGCGTTGGTACCAAGGCTAAGCCAAGCCACGAAATAATCCCCGCGATAATAAGAGCGATACCGCGGACCGACGTTCGAAAGAAGATGAAATGTTTAACCATCTCACACCGATATCACGTGAGCCCAACTGTTGCCGGCGGCGGGAGCCTTCGATCAGGTTCCCCCGTTAACGACAATTAAGACTATTTAGTTTTGGTGCCGGGTTCGCTCGGACGCTTCGACGGAGCCCTCTCGACCCGTCGCTCTCCAGATTCATACTGACTTTCGTCGCGCGAACTCGAACG